TTCCCTTTAAAGCTATTACATTCGCCCTTTCGTTGCCGATTACTCCCGAGTGGCCTGGTACCCATATGATGTGAACCTTACCTCTGGGAGAGTATTCAGTTAAAGCTTTCTTACAATCCAATACGGTCTTAGATTTAATTCTATCACCTGATATCGCACAAATTGCCTTCTGGCTGTTGGTAAATATATTAAGCCCTGTGGGCGCCATATTTATTCTAATCCAATTTACACATTCCGTTATTGCTCGTACTTCTGCCTGGAAGCTTGTGTTATGATTAGGTAAACGGTGGTATATTTCTGTTTCTGGGTCTTCAATATAGAACCCCAGACCCACTTTGTCCCCTAATTTAGAGCCATCCGTGTAGCAACGGATTCCTACTGGTATTTGCTCTAATGTTCCGCTTGACCAAGACATTCTATCTGGGATTAGCGTTTCAAAGTTTCCGACATATTCAGTGTCTGGTATGCGATCAGGCACGTCCGATGAATGTGTACAACCTTCCAATGTGTCCAGTATACATTGATGACGTATCCTATAACCGTTTTTGGCCAGTTCGCCTAAAGTAAAGAGCCGTTCGGCTGTAAGCGCCGCCTCATATCTTATATATGTTTCAATGGGTGGAATATCTAGCAACGTTTCCAGAGCCTTGGTTGAAGTAGTACACATGGCACCACTTATACCTAAGCAGCATGTACGCTGAACTCCCTGTAGTAGTTTGATATTACACTTTTTGTCCAAAGCAGTCCACCAGATTATTGAAGCATAAGCTAGAATTGGTCTAATTACACTTTTATAAAGCCAATTTGTCATAGTAGGACTAAGACCCCATTTCATGCCTATGGTTCTCCTACATATCGCCCAGCACCGATGTGCCTTGTTGATCCTATCCTCTATGTGGTGTCTCCATTTTAATTTCCGGTCAAGTATTACACCTAAGTACTTAACTTTGTCTGTCACCGGTATCTTCTTGCCCAAGAAGCAAGGTTCAGTATATGTAGAAATTTTTGTCTTTCTTGTGAAAAGACAGATTTCCGTCTTCGCCGGGTTAACATTGAGGCCTCTCGGTTGAGCCCAGCTCAAGGCAGTATTCAGAGCCTCCTCAGCTCTTCTACACAAGTAATTTGGATCCTTTCCCTTTAAAAGTATTACGACATCGTCTGCATAGCAGACAGGTCTAAGTCCTTTCTCGGTTAGGGTCCTTAGGAGGCTATTAATCGTGGTGACCCAGAGTAAAGGTGACAAAATGCCACCCTGTGGTATACCGCGAAATACCTTTTTCCTGATAGTTATATCGTACATCTCGCAGCTTATCCATCTGTTCCTTAGCATGTAGTTGATCCAGTTACGGAGCACCCGGTCAACATAAAACTGGTCTAGGGATTGGATAAGGGTATCAGTGTGCACGTTATTGAAAGCGCCTTCGATGTCAATGCATACTGCCAGTGTATACAGTTTGCTATCGAAAGATTCACCTATGTAGTGGACAGCTTCATTTAAAGCGGTTTCCACCGATCGTCCCTTTACATAAGCATGCTGCTTATATTTAAGGTCATTGTATGGTATGCTGCTTTTAACCATGCTATCGACTATCCGTTCCAAGGTTTTAAGTAGGAAGGACGTAAGACTTATCGGTCGATAGGACTTAGGTGTCGCATAGCTAGGTTTCCCTGGTTTGGGTATAAATATTACCCTTGCATCCTGCCATTTAATGGGGGTATATGCCAATTTTAAGCATGCAGTGAATATCTGTGATAGATGTACGGAAACCAGTCCCTCCTCCATCTGCAAAGTAACAGCTATAAGTAAGTACTTATTTCATATTTCTATGGCATTACTTCTTTCATTGTTTACAAAAAGCTCTTCCCTAATGCTTTTCCAGAAGACGTGAATTCATAGCTGATGTGAAGCTATTACAGTATTGCTTATATGAAACCCTTTCTTCATGGGATTCTACACTCAATGGTATTTCTGAATGTATACTATTTAAAATATGTAAAGTGGCTGATATGCTTGCCGCAGATGGGCGATATTTTATATACCATTCCCTTATATTTTCTCTTAATGTCCCATTTTTATTTTCAGCTATTACATCTACTTCTGAATTCTCAAAATTGAAAACAATTTCGATATTTGGAATTTCTTCGGGACTATTTTCTGTTGCCTTCAAAAGATTAAATAAATTTTTATTTACCTCTTTTATTTTTAATTTATTAAATTTATTATTTAACAACAACAGAACCAAAGAATAAACAAGAAGTGAAACGCTGTCATTTTTTTACAACAATAACGTTACGCTCTTCTCACAGACGAGTGCTGTGTTAATCCAACACATATGTAAAAATGTTTTTCTCTCTCCAAACTTCAACTTTGAAATATTTTTTATCACTTAACATTATATTTTATATTTTTTTTGCACAATTTAAACACATTTAATAGCCCGAAAATAATATATTTTTTACAAACGAAAAAAAAATATTTTTTTATTTTTTGACATTGAATTTTTGTTGGTTTAAAATAAAACTAAAAAACAATGTTGTAAATTTTCGTATGGTAAACGAAAAAGATATTTCAAATAAATAATTTATTTTTTCAATATTATAGATTAAAAAACAAATAGACGTGTTTATAAAATGTCTGTAGATAAAATATGTGGAAAATATCTTAAGAAACCTTTCAAAGTATAAATTGAAATGTAATATTTTTTTCAATATTTTTCAATACGATTTTTAGCAACTATGTCGACTTGAGAATTCTACTAATACATTCTTAGAGTTAGGTACCGGATGACAGTAGACTTAGGTACTTTTGACAACAGTTTCATTTCTTATTTATTCTTTGAACAGAACTAACTATTTCAAAAAGAAAAAACAAAACTCCGTTAACTTTTCTACAAATCAAAACATAAACACAAAACAAAACAAACTGTACATGGACAAAAGCAGAAGTATTAAAAAACAGAAACAAGAAAAAGCAAATAATTGAAAACATTTCGTTTATTTAAATTCTGTTCATACACTATAATAAACACACACTTTAATAAATTTAAAAAGAAGATATTTCTTACATTGAAAATGTATTAATTAATTAAAATCACTTTATAGATTTATATTTATAATAAAAATCTTTTTATATTTTCTAAGAATATTTTTTACACTTTTATTCACGTCTTATCTAAACAAATGCAACTCGATGACTAAACATTTTATATTATGTAATTTAAAATGTTTTTTTTTTTTTTGTCGGAAAAGACTCGGTAAAACTGCCGATTTGCCATACAACCTGCTTCCTTGTAAGGGACAAGAGTAAGCTTAAATATTATTTAAATACTTCACTTACAACCTGCTTCTCTGTAAGGGATAGTAGTAAGCTTTTAATTTTTTTCAGCATACATTGTAGAATTACTCCTATCATAGTATTCCCTTATTTCCTGCTTCTCAGTAAGGCTTAATAGTAAGCGAATACAGATGCAGTTAGTTCCCTTTTTAGCTTCCTAAAGTCTAAAATTTTTTTACTGGGAACGTTTATGGCACCACTTGTACCCAAGCAGAATGTACCCTGAACTCCCTGTTGTAGTTTAATATTACACTTTTTGTCCAACGAAGTCAACCAGACTTCTTGCCCAGGAAACAGGGTTCAGTATACTTAGAAATTGTTGTCTTTCTTGTGAAAAGACAGATACTTAAAGAACCAAATTAATTATTGTTTATCTGTTTCACTTATTGCTTATATTTAGATTTGTTTTACAAAATATTGACATAATTTCAATGATATGTATAATAAAATATTTGTAAAAAGTAACATTCAAATATTATTTGAATATTCGAGTAATTGACAAAATTTGAGCGAATTATTCTATATTCTAAATTGGAAATTTTTTATTCATTCGAAGAAAACAATTTTTTTCCCTCGATTAATCTAATAATTTTTATTCGAAGGACAACCCTAATACATATGTTTCATTCCATGAGCAAATAAAAAAAATTATTTTTAATATACCCAGCAAAAAAATAACTTCAAAAGAAGCAAAAAAGAAGTAGAATTTAATATATGGAAGTACTGAAAAATACCTAAACTGGTGATTTTAGCACAGGCTTGTCATAGGAGAGATGTTCTTTTTGTTTGATTCCAAATTCACTACTTCATTCTCAAGAAGTTATATTTTTCTCTTTTTTTGAAATGGTAGTACATATAGAATACAACTAATTTGAATTATATAATATTAACAATAATAAGGATAATAAAAAACCAAAATAACATTTTTTAACTCGTAAAAACGTAAGAAAAAAAAATATGTACATATGTATGTATATCATCAGCATTGATAAAAAAAAAATATTTTCGCTTCTTCGGAAGTCTCTTCCACAGAAGGTAAAAAAAATCACTTAGTGCTACTTTTGATAAATGTTATTCTTTTGAAAGAACTTTGTTTTATTTTTGCTTGATAGTGTTATTTAAAGATTATTTCGTGGTAACATTTAGATAAATTGTAAACCGCACAAATTTTTAAATAATAATAAAAATATAGGAAAATGGTTGTTTCGAACAAAATGAGAGTTCGAAATTTGGAATCAATGTGATTCCGGTATAATTTCATTGGTTGAGCTTATATAACATTCGGCACAACATTCACGTATTGAGAAATGTCTATGAAATTTGTATGAAAAAATATAAAATTACACATGGCAAACAATTTTTTAGCCCTGATATAAAGCTATACTATTAAGGATTGAATTTTGATTAATAAAGGTAAGGCAAACATGACACGAAAACCTGATGTTATAAAAAAATCAAAATTTTTAAAAGTCACGGGTCCAAAAAGTTAATTTTCACTTGTCACTAAAATAATATGATTATTATTTAAAGTGAATGTCTATATTTACTCACATTTTAAAATGTTATTTAAAAAAATGTCTGGTCACGTTACATATAACACATATCGATTGAGCCCACCATAACTTTCAAAAATTGTATTGACAATACTGAAAATTAAATAGTTGAAGTATTATTTACAGCAATTTCTCCTGCTTTATTCATTCGTAAAATGATCGCCCAACGTATAACTATTCTTTTGGAATTACTCTTATTTTTGTCGAATAACTTGTGCTGGTACAAAAATACTCATACATATATAAAATAATATACATATATACAGTGAATAATACATTTTACCTACATTTATTAACATAATTTACTTAATATACATACATACATATCATAAGTGAAAAATATAAATTGTATCAAGATAAATGTATAAACGAGAACATCTTTTATATAAAAATTAAGTTTTAACAATTAAATATTTATAAATTACAACAAAACAAATAAAAATAATATACAAAGGTATTCATTTATTGAAAATAATATACATGTGTTTATTGAACTGAGTACTACAAGGTATATACATATTCGCCCCACTAAGACGTTATTTAAAGCCCAACTATAATGTGCTAGCTTAAGGTGATGTCAAAACAGAATAATGTTTGAGAAAATCCGAAGAAACTTTTAGGTGGCTATAATGTACTTACATACGTGCATTCAAAACAATTTAGCACATTTATGTGCCACAGGGAATTAAAGAAATACACATTTCTTATTATTTTATCAAAATAATTTATTTCTTCCTTTTCATTTTTCTCTTTGTTGCTTTCGTTGCATTAACAACTTTTACTAATTATTGTAGTAGAAATGTATTTCTACTTACTTTGTAAGTTAAGTTTTTGCTGGGTAGCTTTGCAGATATAATAAAACGTCATGGACATTGTATCTGTAATCTTATTAGAGATCTTATCGTCTATCATTGTTAGTATTACACTGATTGACTAATTACACAAATATTATTATACAAATTTAAAATGTTTTTCTTCTCACACGAACATATCATTTGATAGCGATCACGTCTATATATTGATTTTTATAAAACATTTAAAGATGTCTGAAATAAATGGGCTTCGCAATGGAATATTATTGCCTATATTTTTACATTTAACAATATTATATTTGGTGTTAACCCTACAAATCTGCTGCTTTTGTTTTGAAAAAATAATAAATGTTGTTTGAAAATATGTGTGTATTAGAGGTGTCCAAAAATAATCATTTTGTTTGGATGTGTCTTATTTTGTGCATTAGTGTCTAGAACTAACTAGTGTTAAATTTTAGTCCAATCGGTGCCGAAAATCGATCGAAAAATTTAAAATGGGCAAATAATAGAATTTTTTATTTCGTTCGATATTTTTAAGAACGAATACACTTTTTCATTTAAAAAAACAGGCTGTACATTTTTACTTCGGTGTCGATATCAACTTTTTAATTTTTACGGTGTCTGAGATTTCGTTAATATATTCAACCATTGTAGGACGGCAATATCGAATAGATGATGGACAACGATTTTCCCAAATAACTTTTTCTCCAGAACATAATTTTAAAGTTATTAGTAAGACGTTATAGTCTGTGTCTGTTGCGTTTAACAATTACTGTTTCCACTGGTTATGTCCAGTAGTTTCATCAAAACCCCATTTGCTATGAAGATTCAAGCTATTTTGCTATACATATTTAAAATCAATATTTTATTTATTATTTTATAGTTGCGCCTTTTTTGGATGCTACTATATTATTCGGTTAGCACAGTTTCTTGGATTCTTGCACTAATTTATATGAGGGTAAGGACTGATTGGCGTTGAACGCATAAACTTATAGCTCTCAAGAGTAAGACTTGCATCAATAATTACAGCAAAGGCTTTTAGGAACTTTTAATGTTTTATACTCACTTGGAGTGTATATAACGTTTGCGCAGTGCCGTACATTAGTCAAATGCTAAGGATGGACTACCTTTATTTTGTGTTCTAATTTTATGAGACATATTGAAGAATGTAACCACACTTTATTATTTTTAAGAAACGTGTCTTCTTTCCCATTCGATTCTTTCCACCTTTTCTTCTGAACTTTAAAAATATTAAATTTTCTTAAAAATTAAAAACTTTGCACTGCCACTGTAAAGTGTTTGAGTAGATTTGACTTCTTTAACATTTCAAATTCTTTATTCAATCTTGTAATCGGAATTTTTTTGATCATATTGGGAATGTCGATTTTACTGCACTTGGAATTGTCTTAGCCGACATTTTGTTTTTTTTTTATAAAAATAGAAGACAAAATTAAAAATTATTTATTATGGAGACTACTTTAAAAAATTTTTATTCACAAAAGTTACTTTTATCAAATTTTGGTGATATAAAAGTTGATATAGATAGCGGAGTCCATTTAACCATGTCCGTCTGACCGCTTGTCTGCCCATGTGTAGGTTGAAATCAGTTTTCAGATATCTGCGAGATCCGAATCTTCAATAATTCTATCAGAAGTACGTTTGGAAAGAACGCTATTTAAAATCAGTAAAATCGCCCCACTTGAGTAAGTGAGAACGTATCAAAAGGGAATTTTTTAATAATTTTTCGTTCTTAAAAAGGTACATTTTGAATATTCTATGTTGTTGCACCTACAATCATGAAATTAAGCATGTAGAGCTTGGAGTAAGTGAGAACTATAAAAGGGGATTTTTTTGGTACTTTTTCTTTCTTCAAAATCTTCTATTTGACAAATGTTATACCTGATATACTATGTTAATTCGTGACATACAAACCTATTTACATCATTATCCTGTAAATACCTTCATTCAATTGACATTTATAGCACTGCATATGAACGCAAAAGATCTTAAAGCATATTTTTATATACCTAACGATCCATAAATTTTTTAAAATTGATTTCTTTACTTTTATTTACATAGAGATATATTAATGTTCATTTTGTATCTAAAATTGCAAATAAATGCATTTCCGAGGGCAATGTTTAAAAATAATAGGTCGTGTTTCAATTTTTTCCGGTCCTATTCATATAAAATCCAGAAAATTTAGTGTTGTTTTGTTATTTGTAATACAGTACACTGTAAACTACACCAAAAATCACTACAAAAATTTACAAACTTTTCTTTCAGTGCATGAAATGCAAATAGACAAAATCATATAGTAGCATATACAGTGATGTTCCGAAAAATAGAGCCACCTCCTCTTTCGAAGTTTCTTTTTACTTAAAATCCCTCCAATGAAGAATTGAGTTGGAAAAACTAAATTAAATTTTGTATCGATCTGTTATGAATATAATACCATTATTTTTGCAATAATTTACGCGTCGCTATTCGAAATTTTAATGAAATTTTAAATTAAGCTATATTTGTAGACAATTTTTAAATTGAAATCGATACAAATTGTAAGTTTAAGGCTTATTATTACCATCCTAATATAATCTCATTAAAAAACTATAATTTTGAGTCTAAAAAGAAGCAGAGGCAAACTTTGCAGGCGAGGCCGCAGAAAAATTATAAAAATACGTCATGTTTAAGATAAGGGCTATAGGTAAATTGTTGAAATAAATCGTTGGTCCATAAAAATAGTATAAACTGTAAAAATACATAAGTTTAAACCAGAAAATATCAAGAAAAAATAAGAAATAACACCTCTTTTTGGAACATGAACTATGGAGTCATGTAAAAAAATTGCGCTTTTGAGGACACAATAGTAGGAATCTCCTTAAAAAGTGCTATTTCTCGTTCAGTATAGCATCATTAATTATAATTATGGGATACTTACAGTCCTATCTTCCCTCAATCTGAAATAGAGACCAGGTTCCAAACAAGAAAAAATAACCCCATAACATTACCTATCCGCCACCATGTTCAATGATCTTCATTGGGGACAAAATCCAGTGTTGGAACGTCAACATACAGCTATATGGATCATATCAGAATAAAACAAATAGACTTTTTTACATCTGACCACAAAATATTTCGATTCCTGTTCAAGGAGAGATTTCAAATGTTTTTGAAAAGTTTTATTTTTCCTTTCAGGTTCTTTAAAGTGCCATATAATACTTTTCTACTAATTTTATACTTTAAATTATTTTTATACATGACAGATCTTACTATTAGGCTGACAACATCTAAGTTATATTCCCTTTTAAGGTTACACGGAGCACACAAAAGTGTCATTCTCTGCATGAGTCTGATTTTTTCGCTTAAAAAAAGATGTAATTTTTTATTTTTTCTCGATATTTTTTGGCTTAAACTTACACCCAATTTACACGATGATTTTTTTCATGTTTGCCCAGACGTCTGTTTTCATGTTTGTCGATGATTGGTGGTGAGCGGGGTAGAGAAGAATGGGGGGTAAGAAAACAAACATGATTTGGGATTTTCATGATTGTTTTTGACATTCCTCTTTAAACTCATTCGTACTGTTGATATTATGCTCATGTAAAAAAATAATTATGTCTTTTTTTTACATGAAAACATTAAAATTTGCATTAAAAAAATACTATAGCGTGTAATTAAATTTTTTTAAATCAAATTAAATGGTTTTTATGTTAAAAATTTCATTTTATTTTTATTACGAATAAGTAATTAAAAAGGATTATACAATTAAACATCAAAAAAAGACATGCATAGTTGCATGTAAAAAATCACCGTATAAATGTTCATGATTTTTTGGAAGATTCTCAAAAGAGAATTGGAAAAAACAGACGTCTGAAAAGTCTTCATGTAAATTGCGCCTTATATTTTGCAGCATTTTGTGAGTGCGTTTATTTCTCTCAAGTGTGTTTTATTCTCTCAGAACTCTGTGTGAAGTCTGTGTGAAGAGAATAACAAATTTTGTTTGGCAACCCCTTCAGTCAGTGTCGCCAGATGTTGCGATTGGTCCCCAAAATGGGGATTTCAAGTTTAATTTGGTGACAGATTTTCGGGGGAGAGATTTTCGTAAAATTTGAGGATTTTTTATGATTTTTGCGCTATTTGTGGGGTTTTTATTTTTTTTTATAAATATTGATAATTATTTTCATTCTAGTTTAGTTTTTTTGTATAAGGGTCGAATTAAAATATTTCAAACATGGTTCAAATTTGGTACACACACTTTTAGAATAAATACAAAATTTAAAGTTCTAAAGAATTTTCAAAATCGTAAATTTTTTTCTCAAAGGCCTGAAGTTTAAAATCGTATAATTTCGAAATAAATTGTTCGATTTTATTAATCATGGTCTCAAATTAATGGTTATGTGTTCTAGCT